CTGAACACCCTGTATATATCATATAATAATCATCTTGTATCTTCACTTAACATAAACCACTTAGTTAATCGAAAAATAAAAATAGTATTAATAAATTTTTATTTGTTTAATTAATTCCAATGTTTCTTTCAATCATGAAGTATTTTTTATGTTCATCTCTTATACCTTATAATAATGGTGTTAACTTCAATTTCTTAAATGGAAATATACATAATTAACTAGCTTATTTAATAGATAATGATCTAGTTAAGAAAATGACTGGCGATATCAACTTTTGGATTAGTAATTTGGAAGTTATTGGCATACTTTTACCCGGGCTAGAAAGAAGTGTAAAATAGATAAAATAAGTATAAAAATAGCATCATCCTTAATTCCCTCTAATCCCTCTTCATCCCTAATCATTACTTTAAATTGTAAATAACTACTGAAATAGTGGTCTAAAAATTGTTATCGACCAATATATTTCTTGATTAGTTCATTATCTAATAAATAAGGTAGTTGATTTTGTGTATAAGAAAAATGTAAGCTGATACATGTATAAGGTATAAAAAATAAATATAAAATATTCTTTATGTTTGATAGATTAAGAAAAACATTAAACTAAAAGAATCTGAAAAAATTTATTTTTTGTATATGTTTTAAAAAAAGTTATAAAGATTTTTTTTAAATATAAAAAGCACTATAAAACTTTAAAAAAAAATTTTTAATCGTAAATGAAACTAAAATTTTACACATGATTTTTATTTTAGTTTATTTCGGTGCTTGAGTCTTTAAAAGATGTGTTTTTATTAATTAATTACATATTTACTTATTTTTGCTATAATATAGTAATGCATAAATATGGAAGCGCCTCTGTATCATATTATTATAGTTATAGAATGGTAAGAGTGTAGCTTGTCAGTAAGGAATTTTGATAACAGATAATATACATTATTTAGCGTTTCATTTATTATTTTATTAACAATTAATTAGCCCTAAAAATGAGCGCTTTATTAAATTTCATCCTTTTATTGTTAAAATTTGCCTTAAAACACAATCGATCGTGAAAAATTATTCATATTGTTTTCTTTTTTTTACGTGAAAAGTACGTGAATAGTGAAGTATAATATTGTAATAATGAAGATCAACATTAGAGATGAGTCGTTCGTGAACGAACGGATCGAATTGAACGGGTCAAAATAGCGAACGAAATGATTCAGATCGCCGAACCGTAATGATCCGGATCCTCCAAAAACTAATTTTTTCCGGTATAAATCACACTGAACCGATTCGATCGCTTACCAAATATCAATGATAACATATTCATATGTCATTTGCTTATACGACACATCCCTAATCCGAATCACGAATCGAGAACCGCAAAAGAATGAAAACTATACTGAATGTTCGATTCAATTGACTCAAAATATCTTTTAAATCGCGAACGGGTCTTTGAACCGGAATCGAATGAATCGGATTACTTAGGTGAACCATAATTCCCATCTCTAATCAACATGACGGCTCTTATCAGAATTATTAGTGAATTATATTGTAGGTGAATTATTTTTTCTATTAAATTATTATGTTTTTCCCTTTTATATTATTTGTTCAATGTCCTCTCATTATTAGAAAATATCTAGTTATTTTTTGTTACCACATAGGAAATTTAGTTATCATTTAAGTAATTGCTGATATTTAAGTCAAGCTGATTAAATTTTTTATTGTTAGCGTTTGTGCATTGTTATTTACAATTAAATTGACTTGTTATTATTGAAGTTTATAGCGTTGATATTTTGGAGTTATTGAAGTTAAGCCAGATGTCTAAAAAACAAGTTTATGAATTCATAAATCCAAAAGGGTCAAACTTATATTTTACTTTATTATTATTTATTGTTCTAATTTTGAAAATGTTACTTATTAATTAATTATTATAAAAAAATTGAATTATTTATTTAGTATTAAGACACACACTATATATACATATACACTTATACGTTTGAGCACTACATAGCTTACTGGTATTGGGTAGGCGACCCCTCCCACCTACAGTGATTCTATTACTGCACTACACACTAACAGATTGGTCAGTCTTGAAGTAGTATATCAAGAAGCCAGACCATCGGTAAAAAGGCGTAGTGGCCGGTTAAAGTATTTCACCAATTAATACTACCGGCTCGATCACCAGGCTTTAGACAATTACTAAGATAAACATTGTAAGAAACTAAACATAACAATTTTTTTTATAATAATAACTGTATATTTTAAATAATTTTAGTAATAAGAATTGTAAATAAAATAATACTAATAATTTGTAAAAAACTTTTTTTTATTATCAAAAGTAAAAAGTATTTTCATTTGATAGACAGAATTTTTCTTAATTTTAATACCCTTATTTCACTGGGAATATCAAAAATAGATTTTAATTTGCCATTTTTATAGAAATAAGATAAAAAAAAAATAACTTGTATGGTTAATTGTAACATAGCAAATAGTACTTTGAACTTTTTTATTTAAACATTCTACAAAAAAACATGAATCCTTTAAAATTATATTATATTATTTTAAAAGTTTTGATTGAAAATTATACCTATTTTCATTTAAAATTCCTATTTAAATAAACTAGGAAAAAATAATACCTATATTTTGTTTCTTATGTATTCGAATATTTTTTATTCAACCAAATGACATTTTTTTAGCATAAACTATTAAAAATTTGATAAAAAATTATAAACCTTCGAGCTAGGATATCTCTATGTAAATTATTTGTTTCATTAAATATATGAGATAGTACCATAAAAATTTGGTTGAACAATATGTTGAGTGGAGTGAGAAAAATTTTTTTTATGGACCCATGGCTCCCATTGTTTTATAATATCAATATAATTTTTTAAAATAAATAAATTGACTATTGACTATTTGTGTACTAAAACATATTACATTTCATATATTAAGATTCAAATATGATTTTCACTAATATAAATTTATCTTCAAGCCCCAATAATAAGTAATAAAAAATACTTTTTTTTATAAAAATTAACATAAATCATAAAAACACTTGAATAAAACTTATACTTAAATGTTATTTACTTGAACAAAAATATTATAAAAAATAAATTAACCATGTTCAAATACAATATAATAACTGAGGTATATGAAAAAAAAAACCAGCATAGTGGGGTCGCGGCACAGTGTAGATGTGGCATAGTTGGGTCCAGTATAGATGATATCTGACTGTGATTAAAATAACTATCATAAACGATAACGTGCGGCTGAGAGAAACACGGTACCGTGTCAAAATAAATGAAAGCCATAAAAAATCGCAGCATAGTGGAGTCGAAACACAGTGGTGATGTGGTATAGTTGGGCCAATTATAATAATATCTGACAGTGATTAAAATCACTATCATAAAAAACGCTTCGATGCAAATCTTTAGATAGTGTTTAATTTTAACAAATTAATGCATTATTCCAAAAGCTACATGATCTCCGATTTCCATGTTTATATTCTAGTTACAAGTTTTATAATTTATAAATGTAATAAATGAATAAATAAATAAATAAATAAATGTATATATATATATATATATATTAGCATTGTAAAATTAAAAATATAAAAAGAATTTTTTTACAAAAATCTCATTTTTTTAAATTAAATTTGATGTTCGATTTCACCATGAAAACAAAATAAAGTCCGAATTTTTTTTTTTCATAATAAAGTATATTACATAAGCTTTAATTTAAGATATATATAAAAGTTTCAGGCTTACCGGAACACTTTCAAAAGTTAAGTTGAAAAAGTTATCATTTTAAATCCCCTCCTGTAATTTATCTAATAATTTTTTCTCAATTTTTTTATAAATGACTTATTTATTGAGAAAAAAATGTATGCTTAAATAGCTAATTCTTTTTTCTCATTCGTTAAAAATAAAAATTATTATATTGAATTATAAATTTGCCAAGTTCAATAAACTTTTGATTATTTAGTAATTTTGAGTAAAAAATTACCGTTTCAAAGAGTTATCTATTTATTTATTTGCTCATTAAAGCTTATTCAATATTAACTGGACGCTTACATCATGAATTTAGTACAATTGTGCTTTTATTATTCATTTTGCTTCTATTCATTACTCATTAAATATAGTTCTAATCTCACTATCAGTACTCAAATTGCATATTTTAATAATTTGTTTAGTTTAAAATAAATAAAAAATTTAAAGTAATAACTAACATTACAAGTCATATAGTTTTGTATAGTATGGGGTATCAAATTAAATCGAGTATAGTCATATTAAATTGATGTCTTAAATTGATTCATTTTACACACAAATAAAATGTTTTCGGATTTTTTATAATTTTTCATGTTAGGTTTTTTCAATATCAGTGTTGATTTGTTTTTTATTTATAATGTTTTATAATCTCGTGCTGTGATATTTAATTCTGCATAGCTATGGTGTTATGTATAAGATTAATTCAGGTACAGGGTCTCGGTTAATATTGATATTTTATTAAATATAACTATTCATAATTCAGCGTCGACGTCTGAAATAAATAATTACAATTAATATGTGACTTATTTTATAGAATAAAATAAAATCCTCTTTGTAAATTAATAAATGTTTTTTTATATTATGAAACATAAAGTACAAAAGTATGTAAATATTAAAATTTGACTTCTGTATTGACCGATATCAAAGAAATTTACAAATTATACTATATAATCTCATTACAATGAATGTAATAAATCATCTATTAATAGATGATATACTGCGATGATCTTATGGGTAAAATTAATAACATGATCTAATCATATATTTAACTTAGCATTTTATTTGTTAAAACGTTCGATTTAATGTGTTATTAAAACATTTAGTTAAATTATTATTTTACAGTGTAATAAAAAGGATGTCACCGTTACGTTTTCTTTGTTNTCTAATCATATATTTAACTTAGCATTTTATTTGTTAAAACGTTCGATTTTTCAATTTAATGTGTTATTAAAACATTTAGTTAAATTATTATTTTACAGTGTAATAAAAAGGATGTCACCGTTACGTTTTCTTTGTTTCAATTTATTTTTAATTTGTATTCTCCTGTTTTCTGAAGCAGTTAATAATTGTAAAAAAAATGCGGAAGTGTTAATTAATTTTTTCGCCAATGAAGAATGGAAAAATTTGAAAGACGTGAAAAATGTTGATTTTTATACCAAATTTTTCTCCTTAGAAACAATCTATGAAAGTAAAATTGACTTATATAATTGCAATAATAAAGTACGAGCTGCTACTCTTGTACTTGGGTGTTCGTATGTTAAAGATTTGAAAGCTTTTTATTTTATATTTTACTATTTTATTATTAATTGTAAAAAACTGTACACCGAACAAAAGTATAAAACTTTAGGTGACGCTTGCATTAAAAAGCTATTGATAATAATGAATAAAATAAATTTGTTACTTAAAATAATGAAAGGAACGTTAAAAGCATTAGACATAATGCACACTAAACCATGGAAAGAAAATAAAGGACATGATTTATTATTCCTTGGTTTGCTTTCATTTTTACAAGAAAATCATGAAGTTTTAAAAAATACTCTTTTAATTGATGACGCATTGATCACAAACAAACTATTTGCACTTATAATTACTCTTTTAAATGAAAAGCAGTCTATAATTGAATATAAAAGTAGACATTGTAATTATATTCCTTATAATTTGAGCGAGATGTCGCAAAAATGGAATGAAGAATACAATATTTTAACTAAAAATGGCGACAAACTTCATTACTATGAATATTTAAGTAAAAAGTTACATGATATAATTAAGCAAATAATGGTTGAAAAATTTATCAACCTCGGTTTCAAATATGATTCAACAGTCCAAAAGATTGTTGTACCAATACCAGAACAATTAAATTCTGGTATAATCGATTTTTTTTATATATTAAGCTTTTTTAACTGATTAGAAGAATTATTTTAAATTTGACTTATTTTTAAATCATTAAGTATAGTTTTTTTTTAATAAAAAGTATATATACATAATTTTTATTTCAAAAGTGTAGCCCTTTTAAAAACATTAAAATTAAAAAAAATTAACTTATATTAGAATATATTTACTTTTTCTAATAAAAATTTAAAGAAGTTCATATTTAAGTGTTATTATGTACAAACTTTCCTACTATACATCAAATTTTGAACATTCTATTATGTATTTTTTTTATAATATTTTATGTTTTTCCATTAATGTAGGACTATTTAAAGATTTTGTAATATAAATTTTATTATTTGGGTATTTTGGTTATTTGGTTGCTCTATAATTTTTATTTGATAAATTAAAATACTTGAAAAAGAAGTTTGAAATCAAAAAAATCAAATTAATAGTAATTGTATGAAATTTTATTTTAAATAATAATGTTTAATTTCTTTTTTTATATGTAGATAATTCATCAAATTATATAATTACTGATGAGATTACTGCACTTATGCAAACTGAATCTAATGAGGACACCATTTTGAGTAAGCCTTTATATAGTGTGACTTGTTAAGAATTTAACTAGCATTTTTTAGTTAACTTTTATCATAAAAATGAATTTAATAATTTTTTTTATAATTGATTATCTATCTTCACCATTTTTGACTTTCCGTAATTACTCCTACAATCTGTTAAAGGAATTATAAATTAGTTCTGAGACACTCTGTGAACATACAGGGAAGCTCAGCATTCACTTACAACTTAAATAACTNAACATACAGGGAGGCTCAGCATTCACTTACAACTTAAATAACTTTTGATCTAGTTAATATTTTTACCGATTCTTTTAAAATTATAGTTATATGTTAGGTCTATAATAATTATAGACCTAAATTATGAGATATAATTTATATATTTACATTTTTTAAAAATATTATTTATTTTTAAAATATAAATAAAATGTAAAAAAAAATCCTGGATGGCTATTTTGTAGAATAGATTTTAAGAACAATTTTTGTAAAAAGTATCTTATTGATATTAATGTTATTTTGTACTATTAAATGGGTATAGTCAAAATGAAATTTTTAATATTAGATAACTTGTTTTTATTATTACTTTTCGAGTCGATATAATATTAAGTTATATGCGAGAGGGGTGCGCAGAAAAATGTTCAACTATTATTATCGATTAAAATTTATAACGAATTTGTATGTACAAACGGGTAACCGTTATACAGAATGATTTTTTTATTATAACCCACTCAATTATTTACAGAATAATAATAATTTAAACATTTTTTTTTTTTGATTATCTTAGTTACACATTATTCTTGAATTATTAACTATGTAATACTATTTAAGTTCATCCCGATTGCCTGATAAGGGTGTCAACTTTGTTATTTTAGAGGAGAACACATATTTTGAATTTAATAAAATGTTTGAATTTTTTATTTAATAGAAAATGACATTTGAACTTTTAGTATAACTTTATTAGATATAAGCATTTACAGTTTCAAATTTTTGAGTTAATATACATGTATAATACACAAGGGACTACAAATACAGGTAGCTTATTGGTTTTTATGACATTGTTGTCTCAGTCAATGATTATTTATTATTAATTATGACTATCAATAGATATCCTTTCCGTATTGTCAGTTAGTGTATTTATATATTCACAACAATGTGCCATACTACCATTAATAATAACAATGGTGTGTACCTTCTAATATCGATGTCATAAAAAAACAATTAGCTACCTGTATTTGTAATCCCTTGTGTATTATACATGTATATTAACTCAAACATTTTATTAAATTCAAAATATGTGTTCTCATTTAAAATAACAAAGTTGACACCCTTATCAGGCAATCGGGATGAACTTAAATAGTATTACATAGTTAATAATTCAAGAATTATGTGTAACTATGATAATAAAAAAAAAAACCCAGCACAGGGGGATCGCGGCACAATTATGCCATGGTATAGTTGGATCAAGTATAATGATATCTGACAGTGATTAAAATCACTATCAAAAATAAACGCTTCGATGCAAATCTTTAGATTGTGTTTAATTTTAAAAAAATTGGTGTATTATTCCAAAAGCTACATGATCTGCTAGTTTCTTATTAATATCATGATTAAGATAAAGTATGTCGAATGAAAAAGGGATTATTAAAAAATATTATTTCTCATAAAAAAATTGTGTTGATCCATACATTTTTCAATAAGTTATAGCATTATAAAGTTAAAAATATAAAATATAAAATCGAGAAATTTCCCACAATAATAGCATTCGGTAGCCATTTTCACCATGATGATAAAATAAAGTCCGAAATTTTTTTTTTTTCATAATAAAGTAAATTACATTAGCTTTAATTTAAGATATATATAAAAGTGTCAGACTTTCCGGAACACGTTCAAAATTTAAGTTGAAAAAGTAAATTTTTTATGAAAAAGTTGTCATTTTAAATCGCCTCCTGTAGGCAGGTAAAGGGTCAGATATAAAAAAAAAATATACCAAATGATAGGTAAAGGCATCATGCATCTATAAAAAAAAGAATTATATTGATTTGGTTATTTTTAAAAAAGTTATAGCAATTTTAAGTAAAAAAAATTGAAAAAATTTCAAAAATTAGCGATTTTTAAATTTGTAATTTTTTTGGAGGTTTCCCCCATTTACGGGGAACGAGGGAATTTTTTTCAATTTTTGAGGGTAATTTCTTCGACTAGATACGATTTGTGATCTTATGACGTATCGTTGAAAAAAATCGGTTCGGCGAGAGCTGAGAAAAAGTTGTAACAGACACAAAAAAAAAAAAACNTGAGTCCACAATATAGTAATAACTATTTTTAATAATTAGTCAGAATATATAGAGTTAAGGTTTGATTTGGGTTTGATATAAAATGGAAATTCAATAACGGTTCTATTAGAACTTAAAAATCACAATTAATATCACCATTCTTCATATAACAACATGATATCAATAATGTGCTGTGTACTAAAAAAATTTAAATTAAACTCAAAAAAATCCAATTCGACCAATCAGGTGCTTAACATAGTAACACATAAAAAATTATTAATGTAATTAAAAAAAATAATAAAAATTGATTGATAAACAAATAAAAAATTATATGGGCTTATTAATAAGTGCAACATATTTCAGGGTTTTTATATTTATATAGTGTTCAGTAAGCAAGTAAATGGGTTTTTATCGTGCTCATTGTTTGTAACAATTGACCTGTTTTCTTACTTACTGATCATTTTGTATATTTAAACCCGACAAAACAAATGCTGAACGAGAAATACTATTTTATATAACACTATTATAGTTATTTCTTAATAATATAACCATTTAGTTATGTTATATACTAATAGATTGACACATATTGCCAATTTACACATTTAAACAATACATAATTGTATAATTGTTTAGTTCTCATAAACAGTTTTAATTAACATTATCATTTTGATTATTTTTATAAAGCATTAGAAGTTCCGTCTAAAAATCCTAAGACGCCAGTATTAATCGACTTTTTAAATCAAGGTAAAATATCATATTCAATTAACAGAGTAAAATATATTAAAAATATGAAAAATCTGTGCTATTTCAAGTTTTCATATAAAAAAAATTTAATAAATATTGTATAATTGTTTAGTCCTCATAAATAATTTAAATTAACATTATTTTGAATATTCATCGTTTTGTAATGATAGTGAGCACTAATGAAGAATCAGTTCCGTCAGAAAACATTAGGACGCCAAAAATAGACATTTTTCAACAAGGTAAAATATTTAATTTTTAATTTATAACATGCTATGTACAAAAAAATTAAATTTAGGCTCAAAAATATGTTTGAACCAAGACCAACCAAGTGCTTAGCACAATATAAATGTTTAAGAGCTTTAGAAAGATGAAGAGGAAGAATAAAAAAGGAAATATTATTAAAAAAAAAATATAAGTTTATAGATAAACAAAGAAAAGGTAAATGGGGCTATTAACAAAAATAATCTAAGTGTTTGTATAAGGCAGCTAGACTGTAGGATGGCTAGTTGTGCACCGCACTAGAATGCCATTTTACCTTAAGCATGTTTAAATCGCTATTATTGAAGCAGGAATGGGTCATCTGGGGATGACGATTAACCGTACATTCAATAAATAACGAGAATAGACAATTATTTTGATAACCACATATATTAGAAATTCTAGAGAGTATCTTAAATCTAAGNTTAATAAAAATATTAATGAGAAATGTTTTATTTTTTCTTATTTATATTTATCAAGTTAAAAATTAAATTAAATTTTTATTTCTGTATGTTTTATTTATTTAATCATTTTATCCTCAAAAATTGTAGAAATTATTCAGTGTCTCGTAAACAGGAAAATAATTTTATGTGGTATAAATAATTGATAAATATATAAAATCAATAAATATATAAAAACTAAAAAATACCAAAGATAATGACATTAGCATATAATAAATGACAACCGGTGACTCTATTTCTATAGTTTCCTTATTGCATGGTATTTTAGTTTAAAGAAAGTATGTTGGATAAAAGAGATATATTAAATAATTAAAATTGATCACTTGTGGCTAATATTATTTAAAATTAAATCTGTATTAAAAATATTATTGATTTAAAGCTAAACAATATTACAAATATTTAACTCAAAATTTTTGGGATTTGCCTCTTGGGAGATTATGACTTCCATATACTATAAGTATGGTGAACCCAGAGCCTGAGATTTACTGGTGGAATATCTCAGGTAGACGATTCCAGTGATCTAACCAACTTTTGGAATCAGTAGTAAACTCTGTAAACCAACGGCCAAAAGGGCGGATGAATAACTACTAGTTACTAGTTATAGTAGGGCTATCACTTGTTTTGTAGATGAGAAATTACTTTCAAAGATCTACCATCGACCTTGAGAATGTAGAAGACTACAGG